CTCTCGATGCAGATAAGGAAAGATGAGAATGCTTTGGAGGTGGCAGAGAAAGGGAGTGAGTTGCATGTGGAGGGCCCCCTCTCTTCCATCCCTCTCTCACAGATCCATGAAATTGGGTACAATGTTGCACAGCAGTGAAATACTCAGCAACAGATTATTAATTTTGTTGTATTATATTTTATGCATTAGGTTGTATTTGAACAGTGATAAATGTTGCATGCAAGGTGTCAGCAAAGTTGTGCCATTTTTTAAAAGGGGGAATAGTTAAGTACCTGTGCAATTTATGACTATGTCTAGAACTTGTATTCAGAGCTAAAATGCAAGATAATATAAGCAGCTGGCTTGGTTCGGCTGTTCCCTTGCTGGAAATCCCATTTTCCTTCAAAATCTTCTAGTAGTTTTTCTTCCTTTTTAACCTTAGTTTGTTGAGGTGATAAATGTTCTGTGGCTGCTTGAAATTTTCCTGCTCTGGTGGGTTTGACTGTAATGTTACTTTGACGTATTTCTTTTTTGCAGCTCTACTGTGAAAAGTGAATATTTAAAATGGCACCTTCTTACTCTCCTGATTTGCTCCTTTTGTATATTGAAAATATCATCTGCTGATTCATTCACCTAGTGACTACTTTTTACTCCGGTTAATGCTGCAGAGGCAGCTCTAGAAAAGGGAGCTGGAGTCTGTTCTGTTCTTGTGTCTTCAAAAGAATTACTTACTCAGTTTCAATTAAACTTGTGCAGCCCATTGAAGTCACTTGAGGGGGGTGGGGAAGTTCTCATTGCACTATGTTTTGTGTGATCATTTATACCAGTGCAGAGTGAGTGCCAAAGGCTGCCTGCCATTCTGACTTGCTAGCATTTTGCATCCACTTTGAACTGCTGTAGCTGACTACACAAAGGACAGGCAAATGGAGAGTCAGGCTCTCTTTTGAAGGCAAAATTTAAAGACAAAGGGGTTGCACAGATATAACCAGTGGCCTAATTTGACCTCTGGAACCACAACTGCTGGTGTTAGTAGCCGTCAAGAAATAAATCAGACTTTTAGATCCAGATGATCCCAGGTCAGTCTACATGATTAGCAGTTACAGCCCCCCCAGTCTCCTCCCTCCCACCTTTTTCCTTATATACTGATCATTTTTTAACAGGAAATCACTCAAAGAGAATAAGCAAAGTCCCCCAATGCCTTATTGGCAGAGTGATTTTTCAGAAAACAGAGACACTTCAAATTGTAATTGTGTTTAAAGTCTTTGCAATTTCTGACAAGATTGTGGATATGACTGAGACTTGTTTCGCTCCGTGTAAGGGGCCAAATAGCTAATCCACCCCAGGAGTAGCCCAGGAAAAGAACAGTGACACAGAGGGTAATAATTCCTTCCCTGATCTCCCGCTCCTTGATTCAGAGAGTCAGTAACTTTTACTGCTATGCCACCCCCATGCTAGCTCAGCTGTGCAGGTTGGCATATGGGGCAAGGGAGAGGGAAGAGAGTTGGGGCAGTGCGTTCTCTACACATGTGGACCCATAGAACTTTTCACAGGTGGGGGAATGGGTCAGGTCTTATATTCACTTCTTCCCATTCATGACATAAAAGGGCAAGTCACTATCTTTCCCTGTATCAGTCACTTAACATCTTTAAACTGTTATTAGGGTGACCAGACAGCAAATGTGAAAAATCAGGATGGGGGTGGGGAGTAATAGGAGCCTATATAAGAAAAATACCCCAAAATCGGGACTGTCCCTATAAAATCAGGACATCTGGTCACCGTAACTGTGATAGACATAACTTGTTCCAAGTGTGTTATGTTACAATTATTCAGCTGATATTTTGTTTCCCCCTGGGCTCTTTTCCTACCTCTCTTTTCTGTGTTTTCTTCCATTCATCCCATTAGCCATGGAATCCTCTCTTTGGTTTGCCTGCCTTGGCATCTCTCGCCCCTCAAGACACTTCTGAAGACATATGTCAAAGTTCAGGGCAACTGCACTTGTATTCCCCTCCATGGTCCCTCAAGAGCACTGACTCTAGGCTCCTTGCTCTTCAGCAGTCACCTCTCTTGGGCAGTGACCAACATTTCACTTCGTCCTCAACAAGGTTTTTTTCCAGGCTGCACAGTTCCCTGACTGTGTTGTGATGTCCACAGCAAGCCAGCATCTACACTTTGCTTTCTCTTCAAAGGCTATGAAAAGCATAATTGCCAGCAGTTATAAGTTACCCCAAAGTCCTTTATAAGCAAGCACATTTATTCTTAAGGTGAAGGCACTGTACAGAAAACCTATTAAAAACAATAAAAGAACCTACACACATGCAAATGAACTTACCCGAGATCACACCCAAACTCCAACATGGGCTCTTGTCAGAGTCATTCCTGCAAGCTCCACAAAGGAGTTTTTCTGTGCTTACAACAGCTTTAGCTCAGAAATCCATTCTTGTATGGGCCATTGTTCAACACAGTCTTTTGAAGTGCATATCACTTCCAACTGTTTACGTACCATCTTCACCCCAGAGAGGTTACATAGAATCCCAGTCCACAGTAATACATAACCTTTGCTTATAGTACAATGGACTCCAAAGATACTTACATTTAACTCAGTAAGGTTTTTTTAGAAAATTGCCATGTCTGCCACAACATACTTAATCAAAAAGACCTTCAAACCCAATTCTCCCATCAATAGAATGTGACATTTTTCTTTTTTATATAGTCAGCTAAACAAATAAAACATCCAGCAGTTGAAAAGTAGGGTTAGCAATATGTGCCAAACATCATGATTCAATCATATGTCTTTTCCCTCCACCCTAGGTTGCAAAAGGAACATTTGAAAATTAGGAAATGCCAGAATTAAGATTGCCCATGGAACATTAATTCTATTCCCTTGTGTACATGCATTCTGATACAATCTTTAATTACATGATCACATACTATTTTTCCACATGTCTCCCTGCTTCATTCAATGCACAGGATGGACAGTGCTAAGGGAATGAGACAGCTGCTCCATATTTTTATCATCATCATTCAATTAGTGATCCCTGCCATATTTACTATACCCCATCCAAAACCTGCATCAAACATTGAATCATTCATTTCCTTGTGGTCTTTTCTCTGACATCATTTATTTTGTCTCTGAATGTTTCACAAACATTAAATTTAATCTTAACAACCTTCTGGGAAACAAGTATTAGTATCCCCATTTTGCAGAGGGGGGAATTAAAACTAAGACAGTGATTTTCCTGAGGCAGTGAATCAGCAGCATCTCTTATTGATCTTATGCTTTATGTTATTAGATACAGGAAGGGCCAGATCTCCAGGTGGTGTCAATGGGCAATGGCTCTATTAACTTCAGTGAAACTATGGCTAGTTTACACCCACTGAAGATCTGGCCCAAGGTTTTTATTTAGCAAGTATAGTTTCCTTCTTCCTCCCTTCCTTTGTAAAATCCGGCTGATTTTTATGTTGCTGAAAACACATTGAACTGAACATATTTTGGGTATATTCATTTCTTAGAAAACAAAGACATTAATCCCTCTGCAGTCAGTTTTACTTTTATATGACCGACACTGTATCTTGTTTTCTGGACAGACCAACATTTCGAGGCTGTATTTGAGTGACCCAGGTCAAATAATTGAGCACTACACGTAAGTGGAGTCCACTGTAATTGATAATGCCTTCCTTTTTCATGGCATTGAATTCTATGCAAGACAATTTATATTATATAATAGGGCAGATTGACCCTCCAAGTTAAAGCTGTGGCGATTTCCCCCACCCCAGGAAATGATGTGTTGTTCCCCTCCCCTGGCAAAACTAGCACCTCTACAAAAGACCAAAGCCAGCTGCATGAAGACCCTGTGCCCCTACACAGGGTCAGCCCCTCCGGTCACACTCCCTGTGGCTACAGCTCTCTCTGGGACGAGGATAGAGAGCTATGTGGAAAGGTACATCTCTACCCTAGCCTTCCAAGTCGTCTTGTTCCTCAGAGCAGACTCTTGATGCACTGAAAGCCTGTGCAAGGTCTCTGTGGGGAAAGAAACACTGTTGCCGACACTTCCATGCATGGATGGTCCCTTCCCTTATGGGATTCAAGGGCCTACTATGACCCTGTTACAGTAACCTAACTCTCTTCAGAGGAGATAGTGTCAAGTTGCTCCTTTGTCTTAAGTGCAGAGCAGCCCTGAAGGATTTCTGAAGAACAAATCTAACAGAGCCGTAAAATTTCTCCCCTCCCACGCTGTACAGTTACTATTGTCATATGAAGATGCAGACTAAATTGTCTAATGAGAATCCTGGTTTCTTTGTTTTTTTATTACCATTCTTCTGTTCTGGACATAAAATATCTACTAAGGAAATTACTTTCCATCAAGATAAGATGTTACTTACAGCCTGAAACAGATATGTGGTTTTCTTTAACAAGGTTTGCTTCCTACTGTGGACTTCTGGTCCTTATGCAGAGAGTGTTCATGATCAAAATTTACATGGCAAATGGTGAAGTTTCCCTTGCTGCGTGTTCATGAATTTTTCAAACTGTGTTTAACTTGACTGGTAGACAAATTCCATAATTTTTGTCATGAGACATTCATGGAAATTTTGAAAAATTACCACATTTTACCCATGGGAAAACTTTTCACAAAATGCTCAAGATAATTAAAAAAAAAACCAACAACAACCAGGCCTAGATACTCGGGTCTAACCAAGTTATGCTTGGTGAAAGAGTAGTTCTATCTGCATTGTGAGCCTTTGGGCTGCTCTAACTCGCATCTAGGTACCTATGGTCCCAAGTGGCTGTTCTGGCAACTGATTTAGTCATGTCCCCCATTCCTCAGTTACTCCTTTTATATCAGAGGCTAGAAGTGCTGTGCACTCCTCAAGCGCTGCAAAGGAGTCCATAGCAGAATGAAGGCGCTGACCTTAAGTTTAACTTTTAAAAAAAAATATTTGGCATATAGGCTTTGGTTGTGTGTGGGTGTGTGTGGGTGTGTGTGTAAATATAAAAAACTATATGGTTGTTTCTCTTTTTCTAGGAATACACCATAGATATAATTTTTGCCCAGACTTGGTATGATAGTCGCCTAAAGTTTAACAGCTCAATGAAAGTGCTTATGCTTAATAGCAATATGGTTGGAAAAATTTGGATTCCAGACACTTTCTTCCGGAACTCAAGAAAATCTGATGCTCATTGGATCACCACTCCAAATCGTTTGCTTCGAATCTGGAGTGATGGACGAGTATTATATACTCTGAGGTAAGGGCTCATTAACTGGATGTAAAGGAGCTCTTCATTAATATTTTCACTCATTGTTATATTCTGCAATCCATTACAATTAAACCTATTAATTTTACAACTTTAAAAACAATTGCAAATGACAGAAATAAATGCATTATCATTAATAAACAAAATATTGTGAATGGGACTTGGAAAGAATTATAGTAAGAAGTAACTTCCAGGTCCCTTTCGCTTCCAAAGTTCAGAGGCTCAGAAACAAATGTGGAGAGGAATTAGTTGTGGCTTAGTCAAGAGGAACATAAAATATATGCTGTTGTAATGTACTGCTCAATAAGAAATTAAATCAGAGCAGGGGGCAGATTTGTTTTATTTAGATACAAGAAGACAGTAAAGATAAATAAGATTAATGTAATGTGACAAGCCAATACCATAATTTGTGTTTAACTCTTGAAGTGTCACCACTCCAGCTGTATACTGGACTGAATTGAACTCTTAACTGTCCTGTATAGCTATATTTCACAAGATTATGTTTGAATAAAAGAAAGCACTCCGTTAAAATATTAGTCATAAATACTTATATATATGTGGGGTAGGAGTGCCCATTATGGGAAACAGTTGTTTGCCAGTATAGGATAGTATAGTATGTAATAATCCTTTAGAAGGAAAAATAATCTAACATGATTTAAAGAACAGTGTTAACTTGATTTTTTAAAAATATCTTATTTTGAAGAGTGCAGTTTTCTGATAGAGACTTCTGATATAGCCCTCTTTAAAGAGTATATCCTCTTCGGTAGAATTTCCTGTATAGAGTTTTATGCTCATCTGCTAATGTTCAAAATGTTTGTTAACTGTTTGGAGCACCACCACCAAACCTGCTCATACCCATATCTTCTACTGTCTTCCAGCCAGCTTGCTGCGTGTCCAATTGCAGTTCCAGGTTTGTTGCTGCTGTTTCTGGTTAACATTCTTTTAGAAGGCCTAGGGAAGAGCATTCATGTAAGCTCTCCAAGAGCAGTGGATGAGAGTGATGTCACCAAGCTAGTGTATGAGACAGGAAGTGTAATCGACCTTCAGCATAACCCAGTGCTGTCCAATGCACACATTTGTATCAGGGAAAGAGATGGCCTGAATTTGGCCTAAAGTGGAAGTAAATGGAGTAAAACAAAGTTCATATGATAGCAAATGAAGGAGCCACAACAGGATCTGACAACACATCAGGCCATTTGTCTACAATTACCCCTAATGGCCTTAGCCACTTCCCTTTTGGCACTTTGTGGAGCAGGACTGGCACTTCTTCACCTTCAACTTCATAGGCAGGCTGATTTTCCTGAGGTTGGTCAGCTGATCTCTTCAAGACACCCATCTGTGATCTGAAGCCTAATTTGTTTTGTCTTAAATAAAGGCTGATTTTATTGGTTAATTATCCAAAAAGAGCAAATCACAGAAAAGAAATCATGGGGAATAAATGCATGTACTGTAGTTAGCTACTTAAAGAAACAAACAAACACGTGACCCAGTGGACACAAAACTTTCAAATTGAAATATAGTATGTTTTCAACAGCATGGTAGAAGTCCTTTCCTTCTTGCATCCTAAAGTCTATCCGTCTGTCTCAACTGGTCAGGTCAGATTTCCAAAAAAGGCCCCAGAGAAGTGTGTATATAAAATAGCAACTTACTTCATAGTCCTATTTTGCTTGTCAGGTTCTCCCCCGGCACCCTCCAACCACACAGAGATGTGGATATTTAAGCATGGTCTTACTCTCAGAAATCAGTTTAGCTGACCCCTACCAAAAAAGAAGGGGAGATTTAATTGCACAAATAGCAGTTAGGTGCCTAATTCCAAGTGGAAGTTAATGGAGCTGGGGACCTAATTTGTGCCTTTGAAAGTTTTCTGTGTAGATGTAAGGTATAATTTTCAAAAGCCCCTAAATGACTCAGCAGCCTAAGTCCTATTTTCTGGAGTGATTTAGGGCATTTATCTTCTTGAAAATGTTACCCATGGGCATCTTCTCTTTAAGAGCCTGATCCTGCTACTCATATTCGTACCACGAGCTTCAATGAAACTACCTACATGAGTAAGATCTGCAGGATTTAATTCCACTATTGCATGTCTAGTCATCAAGCATAATGATTCCAAATTCCACTTTAAGAGAAGCCAATAGAGTAGGTTATTAGGTGGTCTAACATATAGCCATCTATCAATGGCTTTCACATAAAGGACATGTGGTTGAAGACTTTCAGGGGGTGCAGTGAAGGGAGCACAGCTCTGGCACCTCTGCTAATACTGGTGGGGAGCTCTCCCAGTCTTGGGTAAGTGGCACTTTTCTACAACTCCCCCTCCTCTTTGGTTAGTGAGGGGAGAACCGTGCCTCCTATTTTAATCAGATTGTACTAGTGAAGATCTGAAAGGATACAAAAATAGAATGGCATACTTGATATACCTTGTGGGTAGCATAACTGGTCATGCAAACTAGCATGACCAGGCAGACGCATGGGTCTTCAAGTAGTATTTGGTGATGGATACCATTCTTTAGAAATGATACTGAATACTCTTTGTACATGGCCAGTTGCCTATCCCTAATACACATTCATTGGCCAAAACGACTTTCATGTACTCTAATATGTAGCCCAAAGAGTCTAGGTGCTTGAACATAACCTCACTCATAAAACTTTTTCTTCTAATTAGGTTGACAATTAATGCTGAATGTTATCTTCAGCTTCATAACTTTCCTATGGATGAGCATTCCTGTCCTCTGGAGTTTTCAAGCTGTAGGTGGTAAAATACTTCAATAATTTTATTTTATTTTATTTAAATTCAGACACTGTTGATTGATAGGCTGCAAAGCAGCAGGTCAGTGATTGCACATTAAATTATTGCAGAACAGAAACAAATTAGCTGTTTATAGTTTGCTTGGTCTTCTTTTGAATTGAAAGAATGATGTTAAAGTTGCAGTGAAATGAAGTGTAAAAGGTTAAAAATAATCCTACCAATTAGGGGCCTGATGCAAAGCACCCTGGAGTCAACAGCCATCTGCTCATTGACTTCAGGGGGCTTTGGATCAGATATTAGGAGAGGAAGAAATGTATATAAACTGCAAAATTTACGTGCATTTAAGTGACTACATGTAGTATATTTAACAGCATAGAATTTCAGGATCAGGTCACAACAAAGTAACACTTAATCACCACAACTAGGCCCACTGTGTAAAAGGATTAAGGCCTATTTTACAGTTCCCTCCTCCTACCAGACCAGACTTGACTCTTGCTGAGTCATTCACTTCCTGGGTTAATTCTAACTAAACTCTCAAGTAATTCATGGAAGCAGTTCCCAGCAGGGTTAGTTGTTTGATCTAAGCTTTATTAACAAACAAAAGCAAAACCTTGCAGACTCTTCCCTCAAATGTCTGTGTAGGCTGAGGAGTCCCTTCCTTTGCACTGGTAACTCCAGTGACCAAAGTTTCCTTGCTCTTACCTCAGAGCCTCAGCCATAAATGACTCCACGTAGTATCCCATCTGCCCGTTTGGAGCAAATCATCTCTGCAGTAGCTCCAGTAACAGTTTTTTGGAAGCACTGTCCCTGGCCTCTCAGCTTTCTGGAGGGTATTGCAGTCCTTGCCTCTATTTCCTGCTGCCCTCTTTTATAAGGGTCAGCCAACTTAAGTTCCAGACCTTTCTCAGATGCAGTGAGTGTAGCTAATCAGCCAGCTGCAGGCCTCTGACCCTAGAGGAATACTGTCCCTGATACCTTTACATACCCACCTGTCTTGAGTGGGCCTGTCATGGCACTTACCACAGAGCCTGCTGTATTCTTCGGTTCTTGAAAGCAAGCCTGTATTCCAGTGGTCCTTCCTAGGCCAATGCTCCATTATAAATTGAAAGGGTTGAAAGTCTAAGTACCAATTTGTCACATGGGCATGTGAGTCCTTCATGGTTTGGAGCCATCTTAGTGCCACATGGTCAGTGACTAAGACAAAGGGTGTTCCAAACAGATAGTATGTCAGAGCCTTTAAAGTGTAGTGTATGGCCAGGCTTTCCTTCTCAAAGGACAGAGTACTGGGTTTCCTGGGCTAAGAGTTTTCTACTTATGTAAAGGATAGTGTGCTGTTGTGCATGGAAGTTTTGGGGTAGCACTGCACCTGCAGTGTAATGCAAGGCGTCTGTTTGTAGGATGCATTCTCGAGTGAAATTGGGGCTAAGGGACACTGGCTTGTTGCAGAGAATCTGCCTAATTTTCTGAAATGCTTGATCACGCTAAGGGGACCATGTGTCCAGGGGCTGATTTATTTTTAAACCAGGTTGGTAAGAGGTGCAGTTAACAGGGCAAAGTTGAGCACAAATCTTCTATAGTACTCTGTTAGGTCTAGGAAGGCCCAGACCTGCTTTTTGGTTCTTTGTTTGGGGGTGTTTGCTAGGGCCTCAACTTTGTCAAGTAGGCATCATACCTTATTGTTCCCCTACGAGATAGGAAAAAAATATTTTTTTCCTTTCCCACTTTGCAGTTCTTTGGGTTTGCTGTTAAATGGGCTTCCTGTGGGGCTTGAAGGACAGCTGCTAGGTTCTGGAGCTGAGTGGGCCAGTCCCAACTGTATACCACCTCTCATCTAGGCAGGCCATGGCATAGTGATGGTGGGGCCATGAAACCTGATCCATCAGCTTATGACAGGTGGATTGGGCCTCATACAACCTAAAGGGCATGGTAAATTGGAATAGGCCCACTGGGGTAGAAAAAGTTGTTGTTTTTCTTGGGAATCGAGAGAAAGAGGAATTTGCCAATAGCCCTTTTATTAGAGCTAATGTTGTTATAAAGCAAGCTTGACCGAGACAATTTAGCAGCTTATTGACTCAGGGCATCGGCTAGGCATCAAATTCAGAAATGGCATTTATCTGATGGAAATCTACACAAAATCGGATGGTCCCATCCAGCTTTAGTACTAGAACTACCAAAGTACACCAGAAGTCCTTGATGAGTCCCAATCTTAACATTTCCTGTATTTTCTGAATGAATGGGTTTTTCACCTTCTGGGATTTGATATGACTTCTGAATGGGCTTGGCCCCTAACCGTATGTGGATGTAGTGAGGCACCATGGAGGTTTGTCCCAGTAATAGGGAGAACATCTCCTTTTAAGATCTCAGGGGGTTGTTTATTTGCCTTCTCTGCCCATTAGAGAATCCCTTCCCAAGTGATACCTCCTCTATCCCAAATTTGGCTTGCGTAGGAAGCTGAGGCACCAGATCCTCTTCTCCCTCCTCCAGGTGGATGACAAGGCTTTCCTGTACCTTCTAGGATTTTAACAGGTTTACATGAATAATCTGCCTTGTTTTTGCTGGTCTGGGCTGTAAATTTCATAATCTGCTGGTCCCACTTGATAGAGTACTTCATATGGGTCCTGTCTTTTGGCCAAGAGCCTGTTTTCCAAAGAGTTTGGCAAAGAGTAGGAGCACTTAGTATCCCAGTTGGAATTCCTTTGCTCTAGCCCCTTTATTATATTGCTGCATCTGGATCTGTTGGGGCTGAAAGGTTAGTTCGGGCAAAGAGGCACACGAGTTCTTATCTTTCCCTCATTTGACTGACATATTGGAGGACATTGGTAGGTTGAGCTTCCCAAGACTCCCTAACTAAGTCTAACATTCCTTGAGGCTGTCTCCCTTAAAGAATCTCAAAAGGAAAGAAGCCCATGGAGGCTTGTGGTACTTCTTGCAAACAACAAATAGGGGAGCAGCTGGTGCCAGTGTTTGGCCTCTGTTCCCACAGGCTTGTTTAACATATTCTTGAGAACCTTATTGAACCCCTCCACCAGACCATCAGCCTGAGGAAGATAAACTACTGGAGTGGTCACACTTTCAGCAGTGCTCAAACTTGTCCCTTGATCAATGACTACTTCCAATGGAAGTCCAGCTTAGAAAAACAGTTGGAGTAACTCTCGCTTGGGGTTGAGGCAAAGGTGTTTCATAAGGGAATTGCCTCTGGACATTGGGTGATATAGTCCACAAGAACCAAAATGAACTTGTAACATCAATCACTCTTTTATAGAGGGCCTATTATATCAATCCCTAGCTGCTCACAGTAGGTTGTGATGAGGGTAGGGGAATGAGAGTGGCCTGGCCCTGACCCTTTGGGGGTCCTTTTGGTAATCAGGGCATGTCACGCAGAAATCAGCTATCTCTCTACATATCTTCAGTCAAAAGAACTGAGCCAACAATCTTTCTTGGATTTTCACCTTACCCAGATGTCCAACCATGGGAAGAGTATGGACTAGCCATAGGAACTCCTGCTTGGCAGATTTGTGGACTAGGAGTGGATCTCTGGGTTCTTTAGTTTAAGGGTATCTCTCTCCTCAGTTCAGAATCTCATCCCATAATTCAAAGCAGGGAAACTGGTGAGATGTGTGTTCAAAAGTAACCATCCTGTTGGCAGCAGTAACTTGACTGAAAGCCTCTTGTAGTGTTTGGTCATCATGCTGAGCTGCCACAACATCAAAGGTGTCATTCAAGACACTGTAGTCTAAGATGGGAATGGGATCTGCAGTGTCCATGGGTAAGTGATAACATACAGACTGTTGGGATGTTCCCTTCACAGAGTTTACCCTTTGGGAAGGTCCTTCTCCAGGCTCCATGGAGTCAACTCCAGGATAGGCTTAGGCTTGTGCTTGATCCCGAGACTTCCTTGAATGTCTTTGTGAGCTCTGGACCTTCATGAGACTTCAAATAGGTCCTAGCATCCTCAGAAGGTGTCTTTTCTTGAGGTAGGGGGTCTGGGTTGGAGGGAACTGATTCTCCTTCCAGGAGAGTCAGAAGACATTTCCAGTCACATCCCAGGATCACTGTCCAGGTTAGGTGATCAACACTCTAGCTGGAAGTGCCCTACCTGATCTGCTAACTGCAAAACAACTGAGGCCATTGGGTATGTACAGGTTTCTTCATGAATGCAGGAAATTCAGATGGATCACTCTGGATCCAGGGCTTTGGGTCAGACTAAGTCCCTTTGAAGTAGAGTTTGTCCACACCCCAAATCTATCAATCCCTCCACTCTGTTTGTCCCTATTTTTATAGGGACCATGAAAAGCCTTGGGGTCAGTCCTAATGGTTGATTTGGTTTCTCACCTGCTTGGCCAAAGAGGCATCCTAAATAGTCATATTCCATCACAGGACATTCCCATAGTCTCTGTCCAGGTTGCCCAGAATGATAACATAGCGCTGGCCCTGCATGGGAGGGTGGTGGTGGTCCCTTGAAAGTCTGGGACTTTGGAGTCCCTCTTCCTGATGTTCCTGTGATGAGGGTAAAGTTTCATTTGCTCAGGACATACCAATACTATGACTCTTGCTGGTTTGGCAGGTTATTGTCCCTTGACACTGTCCTAAGTGTGGCCAGCCCTCAGGGAGACTGGATTTCCTACTCCTAGGCAATTTGGCTTCCAAAAACCTCTCAGCTGTCTTTAGTGACTTCTGAATGGAGGTCAGGTAAAACTCAAACCCAGCTTTGAACACTATAGGGAGAATGTTCAGGTTTGTTGTAGTTCAGTATTGTCCATAAGCTCTGCCACCGTCTTGGTCTCTGGGTTTAGCCATCAGGTAGCGGAGTCCTAAAGCTGTGGAACTATTTGCCGAGGGGCATGCTCCCTTAAGGAATGGCTCTGGCTGAAATTTCTTTTGATAAGCCTCTGGAGAGAGACAGAGGCGGCCCATAAGCACTGCCTTTAGTATCATGTAAGATTGTGCCTTGTCCACACTCAGGGCCCAATAAGCTGCTTGGGCCTCTCTGGTGAGGTACAGGGCCAGTTGGGCCACCCAGGATCTCCTCTTTCAGCCTGCTGTGGGGGCAATGCACTTGAAGGCAGTTAGGTAAGTCTCAGGGTTATCACTGCTGCTCATCAAGGTGAGACTTGGTGAAGCCCTGGTGCAGGCCACCTCTCTGGGGCTGTTCCCATCTACCAGCAGCCACTGTGAGAGCAGCCAGGCCATTTCAACTTGTAACTGTCTGTTCCGCTCATGCTCCACCAGCTGGGCTTCCTGCAGACATCGTTGGGTCGCAGAAGTGCCGTCTGGAATTTCCTTTCGTTCTCTGCATGCTGTTGATTCACCATTATTTGGAGTATCTTCTCCATATCCTTTCTTGATGGAAGGGGTTTAGGTCAGGCCCCTGTTTGGGCATCACTTGTAAACAGATTGGTGACTATCTTAAAGCACCCTTCTCCTACCAGCATTGCTCTTGATGAGTCATTCACACCTTGGGTTAATTCTGTCTGAGCTCTCTCAGGGAATCCTGGGAAGCAGTTTCCAGCATGGTTAGTTATTTTATCTAAGCCTTCTTAACAAACAAAAGCAAAACCTTGTAGACTCTTCCCTCAAAAGTCTGTGCAGGCCGAGCAGTCCCTTCATGCCAGTCCTTCATGCCAGTAACTCCAGTAACTAAAATTTTCTTGCTCTTACCTCAGACCCTCCCTTCTGTCCATTTGGAGCAATTTCTCTCCACAGTAGCTCCAGTAGCAGTCTGTTGGGAGCACTGCCCCAGCCCCTCAGCTTTCTGGTGTGTGCTGCAGTCCCACTTCTCCATTTCTTGCTGCTTTCTTTTATAAGGGTCAGGGAATTAAGTTTCAGTACGTTATTAGGTGCAGCAGGTGGAGCAAATCAGCCAGCCAGCTACAGGCCTCTGACTCCAGAGGAATTATATCTTATACATTCACATATTGCTTTCAGTGGGACTAGTATATATGAGTAAGAATTACTAACTTACTGGTTTATCCTCTTTAGTATAAACTCTATTAAGCATGTAAAATTAATTTGTTCCCAAGGACATTGTGCTACCTCTGGTAAAATAAAACACTGAACACATCTAAACAATTTATTCCTTAATGTACAGTGTAATAGGAGATGAATGTAACTACAGTGAATCTTCTTAAATGAATATTATTGCTTAATGTTTGCTTCTTAAATACTTCAACTAAACGTGCTTTCACAGCTCAGGTCTGGTCTACATCTAAAACTTAGGTTGACCTAGCTATGCTGCTCAGGGGTGTGAAAAAGTCACACCTCTGAGAGATGTAGTTAAGGTGACCTAAACTTCTGTGTACCTAGATACTGCCACTTGAGGGAGAATGGGTAGATTTATTACAGCAGTGGAAAAACCTTTCTGTTATTGTAGCAAATACCTACGCAGTTGCAGCTGTGCTACTGTAGTGTAGACATAACCTCTGTCTTCTGAAAGACTGTATTCTCCTAGTGCACCTAAAACTGGATTAACGCAGTTCTGAATCAGTCCCCAAATATTCAGCATGGAAAGGCAAATAAGTTTCCAAATGCATTTATACCTTTTAAAGCAAATAAAGTATGAAATAAATAAAAGTAGCTACCACATTTAAGCTTTAAATATGCTTCTCAAATTATGCCCCTCTGTTGTATTACATTAAAATATCATTCTAACGAAACAGAATCACTAAAAGCTAAACTTTTTCATATTTAAATATTGCATTATTAATTTGAGACATACATTTTCCTTAAATGTCTGTATTCTCTAACATTTTGGTTGGTAGAACTTTTAGCCATACTGAGACATTTGCAGGCTAAAGCTTAATAGTATATCAGGTATGTTATGGAGCAGTTGTTTTCTGACCCACTTATTTGGGTTGTATCTAATTTCAGAAATCACAAGTGAAAGCATTCTTTGCTGTATACTGTGAATGAATACTTGGTTTACTCTACTTTGTTCTAGATGGATATCCCAGAAATGAAATTGAATACAAATGGAAGAAAACCTCTGTTGAAGTTGCAGATCCCAAATACTGGAGATTATACCAGTTTGCATTTGTAGGGTTACGAAATACAACTGAAATTTCTCATACTCTGTCTGGTAAGGAAAAACCTGATGTTTTCTTGCATGCATTTAAAGGATTAGCAGCCTATGCACTTTCATTCTTTGTCTAAATTGTGCAAGGGACCATTTAGTTATGTGTGCTGCTAATGTCTAGGGTAAAACAGAATTGCAGCTGACCTGTTTTAATGGATAAAAGTCCTTCAGCAGCTTTGTTTAAAAGGAAAGTACATTATGTTTCCCACTGTAAATTTTACAACATGGTATATATTTGGAACAAGAATACCAAAAATTATGGGATAGAAAACCACTTGCAATGTCTAATTAGAATTGTGGGCTTTTTCCTCATAGGGGACTATATTATCATGACAATCTTCTTTGATCTGAGCAGACGCATGGGATACTTTACTATTCAGACATACATTCCTTGTATACTAACAGTTGTTCTTTCATGGGTCTCATTTTGGATTAATAAAGACGCTGTGCCTGCAAGGACATCATTAGGTATGTATGTTCCCCATGCATAAAAATCTTCAGAGAGAAAGAAACAAAAATATCCATGACTTTAAAATTATGATTCCGGGCTTGCACCAGGGGACAGCACAGCAGAGGCTGAAAATCCTCAGGGAATCCTGATCCAAACCCCATGGATCTGCAGCTGTGCACATAGAGGAGTTTTCTATATATGCTCTTCTCATCATCCAGTATGGTCAATGATTAGGCAGAGAGGCATGATTTTGCTGCAGTGAGAGTTGCGGAACACAGGGGAAGTTGATCCAGGAAGATCCCAGTGTTTAACATATCTGTGTCTTTATTGGCCTGGGACCACAAGTTTTCCGTTCTCTGGCTCCTTTCTCAGTGAGCAAGTCACCCTTTACTGTATGCAGAAGGGAAAGGATCCTTAAACATAACAGTTGTTCCTGTTTACATGTGCCTGATTCTCCTCTCACACCTGGAAAAATTGGGAGTAACTCAACTGAAATTAATAATGGAGTTAAGCCTGTGTGAGAGCAGAATTAAGCCCCATTTCTGTTATTTCCATGGTTTTCCTGTGCTCCATGCGACGGAGCACAGCAGCCTATCAGTCTAACTGTATAGCCCTTTCAATATTGGTTCTGTTTTAACATTTGGTTAAGGCACTCATCCCAGCTCATTTAATTAAATCAGTTTAAGAGTAGTAGTAGCTAAAACAGTTTCTAATTTTAGTGGTACTAAAAAACCCCATATTTACTCTTGTTAACATGTTGCAGTTATTTATGCTCTCTTCAAAAGTATTGGTTTGTCAGAATAAACACTTTCAGTCTGTAGGAAAACACTTGCAAATTTGGTTACAAAGAAATATTGTTCAATATACTAGTATTTACATACTGGAGTATGAGTAACAGGAATTTACTGACAGCATTAATGTACAGGAAGAACACAGGAAGATCTAGATTTTTTTAAAAATGTGATAAATTTGGTCACTTATTTCTATGCTATTTAATTAACAAAAAGTTACATAAAATTTTAGTGAATAGAGTTTAAAACCTAATAATTTGACATGTCTCACGATATTTAGACTCTATATAAATTACCTCTAAAGTATAGTATTTAAACCTCAGCGTGGGTACAGTCTGAAAAGAGAATGTAAATATGGCATCCTCTGTTCCCGATTCATTGTCTCTTGCGAACTTCATATTCAATGTGTTCACTTTACAAGTTGTTTCTTCTAAACTGCCAACCCTGAAAACTTACCCTAGGATATGACAATCAAGCTATTACCCCCCGGCTCTCAGCAACAGTAACCCTGTTCCAACTAAAATGTGTTTCAGGTATGTTATAGAGGTTTATAGTACTGCACCTATAACTCACGCCAGTTGGGTTAGTTACTGTTGACTGATGTATAAGCAGTAAAGAACCCTGGTTGACTGTCAGATCCCAGGATGATTTTGGCAGATGGAGTGGTGTGGTGGTGGTAGTCAGAGATTTTACTTGTAAATGAAGCTAATTTGATATGAAATCATTGTGGGAGGGAAACACATAACCAAAATACCCCACCATGCTGTTTTTTTAGTCACTCTTCTGAGTTTAACCACATTTTAACTCTATTTGACAAACAGAGCTCCTGTGCTAAAGTTTATTTCTATCATTAAATGGCTGGAGTATGAGGAAACTCTGTTGCATCAATGGGGACAGAGGAGCAATCCAGACACCTTTTCTCCCCACCCCATTTCCACTTGTGAGCAGCCATTCCATAGCTTCACAATAGCAGCGTCTGTACTGCTTTCATAGTGAGGAACATTGGGAATGTTTGCAACTGCTACCTCTTCCCCTATGGAACAGGACTCTGAAAATAGAGTAGTGGGGAGGATACAGGGCCATGCCCATCCCTTCCCCACTGGCTGCTGCTGTGGGAATGGTGCATTGAAGATGGGGACTTGCTAATGGACGGAGCTGACTGCTCACCCCACCCACATGTATGGCAGAACTTTGGTGGAAATTGTGCCTTTCCAAAGCACAGTGGTTCAGATTTTTGAAGGCACCTAAAGATGCACATAGGCCAAAAGATGCACATAGGCACCTAATGGATTAAAAAAAAAAACCAAAAACCTGCTGGGAGGTAGGCATTTTTGAAAATCCCACTAGATACTTATCTGCATTGTCAGGTGTGCCAATATGAAATTGGAGTAGCCGTTGTATTCTAAAGTTAATCCTCATGAAGCAGAAAATATAATAAAAAATTGTTGTATTACATCAATGAAGTGTGATTTGGTGTGGATTCTGAATATATATTACTAAAGCCAGCTCTTTTGTGTGATTGGTTCATATGTCAAAGACTGTGCAGTGAGTCTTAGGTGGAATACCTCTTCTATGAGTTAGAACTTTCATAGACTTGAAGGCCAGAAGGGATCATTAGATCATCCAGTCTGACCTCCTGTATATCAAGGGCCATTACATTTCATCCAGTTAACCCTTTCGTCTGGGTTTTTTGGAAGAATTGATGGTTAAGTAGTGCACCTTTTCCCTAGATATTTACATTTGTTTCTTATTCACACTTTTTAAATATGTAAAGTCTGAATAACATTACACTGTATAAAATGTTGAAAATGTCACAGACCTTTACAATTTATTTAACTCTGCAGTGTGTGGGGAGAACAGAGGGGATTTGAATAGAGGCTAAAATCATCTAGCTCTCTATGGCCCCAGTCCTGCCATTGGATCCATGGGGTTGGACTCTTGTGCTGGCACATATATTTGTGCTCATGTGGAGCCTCATGAAAGTCATAGGCTCTGTGTAGGTGGAAGAGTCAGTTTGCTCAGATCTGATTGTAGCATTGGGGAACGCTGTGCCAGTTTGATTGCTTTGGTACTAAAGGGAATAAATTAAATGCTTCACAACTAAATCTGTCTGTAGGATCACTTATTGAAATACCTCCCTTTGTTTCTGTTTTGAACAGGTATTACTACAGTATTGACTATGACAACACTAAGTACAATTGCTAGGAAATCTCTCCCCAAGGTCTCATATGTGACAGCAATGGACCTTTTTGTTTCAGTTTGCTTCATTTTTGTGTTTGCTGCCTTGATGGAATATGGCACCTTGCATTACTTCACCAGCAACAAAAAAGGGAACAAAGAGAAAGAGAAGTCTTCAAAACACAAGCCAGCTGTAAGTTTAAGAAATTTGGGAAAAGCCTACTTAGTTGTAATGCCTTTATTTTATTTTTTACAAAAAGTTATTTTTGTACTTGTTATTATTGGTATGACCATAACACCTGAGAGCCTAGTCATGGACCAGGAACCCAGTGGGTTAGGTGCTGTATAAACACAGAACAAAATGATGGTCCCTGCCCCAAGAAGCTTGCAATCTAAAAGGAACATTTAAGAGACTAGCTGGCAAACTGCGAGGCTCAGTCAAAGGTAGATAACACGACAGCCTTTCACCCTTGGATTCATTTCCTGATAATTGCACAAATAAACATGAATTTAGGCTCATCCTACTCTCTAATGGATATAAATTAAGCCAAAAAGCAGTTGAACATAATTTTCCATAGCTTCAAAGGAGAAACCCAAAGCCTCAATGTTTCATCAGGATCCACCAGTGCAGACCCAGTAACCCACAGAGTGATGAATACCACTGAAGATTCGGCATGTGTGCAGGGTCCATGCTAACACATCCAGACATAGGATCAGGGCATAATACTGTAGCAGCAGAGATGATGTAGGTGGATTGAGGTTATGAGGATTCACTTGGACTGCGATTACTGTCTTTGGACACTTGCATAGAAAACATTATATCCAACTTCAGCCAGAATTCTTTATTCCTTGCTTTCATGAAAAGCAAATTCCATAGCCTCATTTAAGAATCTTTTTTAATTGAATCAACACCCTGGTATTAAAGTCTGTGATTTGTTGAGTGGGAAGCTCCACACAGCAGAAGTGCAGGAACAAATATTAGACTATTTTAACGAACTGTGTGTTCTAATATATAAAACCTGTTCAGTATATTTTCCAAAGAATCTAATACTAGCAAATAGGAAAAATACTTGAAACTAAACTTTAAATTGACAGAACATTGAGATAAAGGCATTGAATATCTTATGCATTGAAACACAAACTGAAATAGCCTTATTTCATAATAATTTAAGTTTGGTCACCACTTTCTTTGGGAACCCTGCAGGAAGATCTAAGAGGCAGGAAAATGCCCCAAAGCTGTCTTGCTGCAAAACTCCCTTCCAAATCATTGAATTATAAGAAGATACAGCTTGGTGGCAATACCACTGCATGGGTGACTAAGACCTCCTTCTTTTTTCCCCCTGCCTGAGAAAATCAGAGAATGACAGATAGAGCGTCCTTTCATGACCAGATCAAAGAAAAAGTTTGTAGGTAGCAAAGGTGAACATTGCTGTTGAAATCAGGTTCTCTATTCTGGCTGAACTATATTTGGGATAGGTCTAGGATGGAGTGTGTGTGGGGGGGGGGAGATGTAATTTTAAGTCACTTTTGCATCCCCATGATTCTAGGGCAGTCTAGCCCAATCAGGGAGCCATGGAGGCAGCAGGTGAAAGGAGGCTTGGAATCTCTTCAGTCCAACTGGTCGGAGGACATGTAGTCACAGATGGAAGGAGAGCCTAAGCCTAATTGATGGGAGAGGGTGACAAAGATAGAGGCTGCCAGTGATGGTGTGTCTGAGCTTCACTTTTAGGGCATGGCTCCAGGGAGGTCACTGCAGTATGTGTCTACTGGTCATGGTAGACTGTAACAGGAGGGGCAGCTCTGAATCTACCAAGGAGGAGAGGTTGCTGTGGGGGAGTGCTGTATATCCAAGCCAGAGAGAGGAGGAAAAACTGCCCTTCACTTTAACCTAGCTAATCTGCCACCATCACCAGTGGGGCTGAATGCATCCCATGTATTTTAATAATAGAAATAATAAGAATCTCTCTTCTTTCCCAGCCTGTGGGAAAGAGAGTTGGTTAATTTTATATATTTTTTCATAATAATATTTTATTAGTATTAAATGTCTTCTCATATCACAGTCAAAATATCTAAACATCTCTTTTGAAATAGTAGCTGACCAATATCCATTTAAGTAATGGAAGTGCATTAATATAGAATTCCCAGTCTACAGAATTTGCTTTCATAAACTAAGCATTTGTGTGATATTCTGCCAAATGGTACAAGACTTACAGCACATAAAGCAATATAAAATATACAGTATTGGTGAGGCATACGTAGAATCAATTACTGAATGTGTAGCTAAAGATTTATCTAAGATGAGAACCAATGATACAATATCTAGAACACTGTTTAATTATGTGTTTTCCTTTATAAATGTGCTTTGTTTCTTAAGGTCTGAGAAATGCACCCATCTGTTCATCCAGATTTCTTCAAACATGTTTATAGCAAACTAAAAATATCAGAGCACTCACATTTGTTAAGTGATTAATCTGAAAATAGAGGAGTAATGTTTTTAATTTAATGCACTTAGTTATAAAAGATGCCAGTCTAATGAAAAATCGTTTTTGCTCACTGACATTGTTTAAATGCGTAAGATTTCTAATTCCAAATAGAACAATTAAACTATCAATCTATTTAATTACAGAGAAGCCATATAGTTACAAACCCTGATGTTTTTTTTCAACTGCCTTTCTTCAAGTCCTATATTAATTCCTTTTTTCCTTCTGATTATAGGTATATTATTTTAAAACCAATGTAATTAAAAAAATCAGTTTAAGTCTTTATGAAAAGATTTCATTCACACTTCTTCTGGAAAGATGTCTTATAGGAGTCTTCTATTTCCAGTTGGGCATTTAGTAAGAGATTATTACTCCTGGAATTTACTCCAAGAAGAGGCTGATAACATAGCATTTTAGCAAAGGGCAAGATTTCTGCAGCTGATTAGAACTGTGTTTATTCTACGGAATACTTACTAACATGTAGGGGCAGGAGGTGAATTCATCAACAGCATTTTACTTCATTTGTTAGTATTCACATAGTCCTTTCAGTGATGGCTGTAGGGCTAAGTTAATTTTCATGCCCAGAAAAAAATTATCCAAGTTATTATAAAAAGGGGTTTCTTTTTTCCTTTAGTGAACATAATACACTTTTAATAATCTCAAAAGGGTAAACATAATAAAATATTAATATGCAGCATATCATTATGCAATATATAAAGATATAACCATGTCATATAAATAAGCAAAAGGTTACATCTCATCTGTATATTCTCACAACAGCAAGATTACTACAATATATGGAGATGAAAACATATTTCCATGAATAAAGGAGTTTGAATGAAGAGTTATTGTCTTAGCAACACTAGAATGGTAAATAGTTTTCTGAAAGTAGAATATTCATTAAGTTAAAAATTTCCCAGGATGTGAGAAATAGGCTGAGTAACGAAGTTCCATATTTAAAAGTCATTGTTATGTGTCACATGGATGCAGATTACTAAAATACACAGATTCCCACAGTATTCTTGCCACCAAGTTAAAGAAGTATAGGCTGGATGAATGGACTATAAGGTAGATAGAAAGCTGGCTAAATCGTCGGGCTAAACAGGTAGTGATCAATGGCTCCATGTCTAGTTGGCAGCCGGTTTCAAGCGGAGTGCCCCAAGGGTCGGTCCTGGGGCTGGTTTTGTTCAATATCTTCATTAATGATCTGGAGGATGGCGTGGACTGCACTCTCAGCAAGTTTGCAGATGACACTAAACTGGGAGGAGTGGTAGATATGCTGGAGAGTAGGGATAAGATACAGAGGGACCTAGACAAATTAGAGGATTGGGCCAAAAAAACCTGATGAGGTTCAACAAGGACAAGTGCAGAGTCCTGCACTTAGGATGGAAGAATCCCATGCACTGTTACAGACTAGGGACTGAATGGCTAGGAAGCAGTTCTGCAGAAAAGGACCTAGGGGTTACAGTGGACGAGAAGCTGGATATGAGTCAACAGTGTGCCCTTGTTGTCAAAAAGGCTAATGGCATTTTGGGCTGTATAAGTAGGGGCATTGCCAGCAGATCGAGGGATGTGATCTTTTCCCTCTATTCGACATTGGTGAAGCCTTATCTGGAGTACTGTGTCCAGTTTTGGGCCCCACACTACAAGAAGGCTGTGGAAAAATTGGAGAGTCCAGCGGAGGGCAAAACAAATGATTAGGGGGCTAGAGCACATGACCTATGAGGAGAGGCTGAGGGAACTGGGATTGTTTAGTCTGCAGAAGAGAAGAATGAGGGGGGATTTGACAGCTGCTTTCAACTACCTGAAAGGGGGTTCCAAAGAGGATGGATCTAGACTGTTCTCAGTGGTACCTGATGACAGAACAAGGAGTAATGGTTTCAAGTTGCAGTTGGGGAGGTTTAGGTTGGATATTAGGAAAACCTTTTTCACTAGGAGGGTGGTGAAGCACTGAAATGGGTTACCTAAGGAGGTGGTGGAATCTCCTTCCTTAGAGGTTTTTAAGGTCAGACTTGACAAAGCCCTGGCTGGGATGATTTAGTTGGGAATTGGTCCTGCTTTGAGCAGGGGGTTGGACTAGATGACCTCCTGAGGTCCCTTCCAACCCTGATATTCTATGATTCTATGATTCTATGAAAAGACACAGCAGGGAAATTTCAAGAGGCAAGGTGTATGCAGTGTTGTTCTAACCATATCAGTCCTAGGATTAGTGAGACAAGGTGGGTGAGATGATATCTTTTTATTAGACCAACTTCTGTTGATGAGAGAGACAAGCTTTCCAGCTTACACAGCGTCTTCTTCAGGTCTGAGAAACATACGTGCTGATTTACACCAGCTGAGGATCTGGCCTTTCCTGACCTCTAGATTTTAATGTTTACTTTTTTATTTTTAAGGTTTTCTTTCATTCTGAGCTTTTCTGCTCTTTTCTCTCCCCTTTCTCGTTCTCATGCTATCTTTCTCCTCTCTCCATTATTTCTTTTTTCCCCTCATACTACATTTTCTCTCTCTCTCTCTCTTTTTTTTGGTCCCCAATGATTCTCCCTCCTCTGAAACTCTGTGCTATGGAACATTCCAATCATTGTCATTCACTTCTCTGAGTCCCTCTGTGGAACATTCCACTAATTCTCCTCATGACTAGACTGATCACTATTGTGTGACTCAGGTCTTTCTCATTCCTTCTCAATCTCCTGAATGAGTATGAGGACATCACATCTGCAGCATTCTCAACTCTTTGCTGGCCTAAGGAGAGAAAGACCAGTAGTGATTGTATAGTGTTATTCTTCCACATGTTGTGCCCTTTGCTGTGGTTGTCTCAGTCATATACTGGAGTAAAAGGAGCATTTTAGGTTGTCCACAATATTTTTTGTAAATGGCACTTACCCTGGTGGACGTGGACTGCCATTATGTCTTCCAAACTAGACACAGATTAAACTTGTTCCTAACAGTGGGACATACTCTCTTAAACGCATATGCTTCTTTTTCTACTGTTCCATCTTTCACTTACTGACATGCTTACACCATAGCTTCTTCTCCTACAAAATTTGATCTTTATGAGGAAGAAAATCTAGGAGAAAAGGACCTAGACATGCCTCAGATACACTTTTATTTTTAGGTAAGAATAAAAGGGTATCAAGCCATTACATATTGTAATTGTTTGGGTAAGTTATGTGTGTGTTCCCTTCCTGCAGTGGTTCCCAAACTTGTTCCGTCGCTTGTTCAGGGAAAGCCCCTGGCGGGCCAGTCTGGTTTGTTTACCTGCTGCGTCCGCAGGTTCGGCCGATCATGGCTCCCAGTGGCCGCGGTTCGCTGCTCCAGGCCAATGGGAGCTGCTGGAAGCGGTGTGGGCCAAGGGATGTACTGTCCACCCTTCCCACAGCCCCCATCAGGGCTGGCTCCAGCTTTTCTGTTGCCCTAAGCGGCAAAAAAAAAAAAAAAAGAGAGAGCGGCGGCACTTCGGCAGCAGCTCAACCGCACCGCTTCTTCTGTGGCACTTCGGCGGCAGGTCCTCTCTCTCTTCCTCTTTGGCGGCAGTTCGGCAGCAGCTCAACCGCACCGCTTCTTCTGTGGCACTTCGGCGGCAGGTCCTCTCTCTCTTCCTCTTTGGCGGCAGTTGGGCAGCAGCTCAAAGAGGAAAAGAGGGAATGAGGGACCCACCACCGAATTTCCGCCGAAGACCCAGACGTGCCGCCCCTTCGAATTGGCCATCCCAAGCACCTGCTTGCTAAGCTGGTGTCTGGAGCCGGCCCTGGCCCTCATTGGCCTGCAGCAGCAAACCGCGGCCAGTGGGAACTGCGATCGGCTGAACCTGCGCACGTGGCAGGAAAACAAACTGGCCCGGCCCACCAGGGGCTTTCCCTGCACAAGCAGCGGAACAAGTTTGGGAATCACTGCCTTACTGGATAGAATTAGAACTGCTCAATGGAGCATCAGAGACCCTTGCTTTGTGTAGTTTCAAGATTCTTGGGTTTCTTTTTACACCAATAGTCAGGACACCTCTGGCACCGAATAGCTGTGCCATCTTGGATAAATGACTTGACAGCTCTGGGCCTCAATTTTCCCTTTTATAATGTGGGTATAATAATACTTAACTGCTTACAGAGGTGCTGTGAGGCCACAATTAATTAACGGGATTATTGAATGTGGAACGGTATACAATGTTCTGACCTGTTTTGTGCTTCTGCTGCTTAACACTTTTATACATTTTTGAATTATTTGCTAAATGAATAGTTAGTTAAAAGAAAAATGCTTCTGAAAAAAGCATTTTATTTCTCTACATTGCATAGAAGTAAAAAGCTGAAAGAAGTGGTTTTGGTTATTTTCTTCATGAGATCAAGTTTAGAGACCTCATCCCCCACAGCACCCTTTATGCAGCCCTCACCACTGTTCCTTGAATTTTACACCAGGGAAACCAATGGAGTAAGGTTGGTGTAAAACCAGGGTAGCCCTGTAGTGAATCAGGTCTTGTATCTTTCTACTTATTGGTATAAATTAGTAATAAACAATAAAGTTGAACTGCAACTTTTTTTCTAATTTAAAAACAAACATTTTTGTATTAATTGAAATGAGAAACATCTAACTGTTGTTAGGTAGATGTAGGTAATATTGTATTTTCACAAAATGGAAGACAATAATTAATTCCTACAGGATAATAATTAGCTCCTGTCCAAAAATGAGAAACAGCAGTCTCTGCAAAATGTCCATGCTTATGATAAAGTTGATATAACATGTTAAAATACATTATTTAAATAACATTTCTGGAGGCTTTGGGCAATGCCAGTAACTGCTGTCCATTGTACCACTTCAGTACCAACTCTGGGAGACTACTGGCTGCAAAGATGCACTGGCACAAATCACTCTCTTAGCAAGGAATCGGAGACCTACACAATGTTTAAGGCAGAGCCTTGTAAGTGGTGAAACAGCACCCCAAAAGTGCAAGGTCCCAGATGACTTTGGTTCCCATGTCTGTTATTGGCCATCTTGTATGGTTTTTTTGCTTGCCCCCAACATGTGCACCCACAAATCTTTTAGAGAGGTTCCCTTCCATATTTTCAGGTGCTAAGGATATAAATGCTTTCATTGCAAATTTGTGCTCTCTTGGCCTATCTTCTAACTGTATTTCTTTCCATTGCTTTCTGTCTCATTCCTGTTCAGTATACCAAGGTGCTCAATCAAAGTGCTGGTAGAGGAAAAAGACCATATATGAGCATGATATAGGGATAATATGAAGGATCGCCATTTTTTTTCTGTCTGAAAATGCGGGAGGGAACACCAAATCTGAGGTTGGAAGAAACAAGGAGAGTGAACAAAAGGACAAATGGAGAGTGTGGAGTTGAGGTTGGAAAGAGGATAGACTTGGGAATGAAGAAGAGTGGGGAAACAGTTGATAGCGGAATCATGGGGGAAGGAACCAGGGGACTGAAGGTCAGAAATAACATGAAAAAAGGAGACTAGTTGAAGGAGGAAAGATTAAAGGAAATAGTGTGAGTCGGAAGAAGAAAATTCAGGACAGTAGAACAGAACATCCTTTGTATAATCCATTATGTATTATTATTATTATTACTTTATTATTTATTTTATTATTATTTAATATCAGGTGATAGGACTTCCATCACTTACCTGATGAGATTATCTACATAACATATTTTACCAGGTTATAGCAAGGTTGGCTTTCCATATGGCACATGTCCATTCAACACAGTTAACACATGGTGCCATATTATTCACTGGTTCAGTTTCACTGACTTGAATGGAGTTCTGCTGGGGAAGAATTTGGCTCTTGGTTCCCAACTGCCTGGGTCTACCATTCATCAACTTTAATTCCAGAAGAGACCATTAGATCATTTAGTCTGACCTCCGGTGTACAAAGGCCATTAAACTTTCATACAGTTACCACTGTATTGAGCCTAATAACTTGTTTGTCTAAAGCATATCTTCTGAAAAGACATCCAGGCTTGATCTGACGACATTAATAGACGGAGAATCCACCATTTTCTATGGTAGTAGTGTTCTTATCCTGCTTGTAAACAAGTTTGTGATCCAAGTTTCAGGCTGCAACTGTGTTCCAAAATGTTCTTTGTGCTGTATAGATTGGATCACCTAACTCTGTCTGTCTAACCTATTATTCAGTATTCCTGTCTCACAGAACAATCTACTGTGCATTGCACCATGTGAAAATATTCAGGATCCTTTGGCCTCATCAGTTAATTATAAAATGTTTCTTAACAGGAAAAGTTTCCAAAATTGATTTCTTCAAACATGAAATTCTGTGTATTGTACTGTAAAATGTTTGTAGTTGGACATAGCCCAGGGAAACATAGGGTTATTTTTTTCTCTCGGACTGTAACCAACATATTGTTTTCTTTAGAAATCAACTGCAATTGCTGTCCGTCCTAGATCAACATTAATAGCAATTAACAACATTAATCACCTCCAACAGCGTGATGAGGATTATGGATATGAGTGCCTGGAAGGCAAAGACTGTACCAGCTTTTTTTGTTGTTTTGAAGACTGCCGCACAGGTTCTTGGAGAGAAGGAAGAATACACATCCGTGTTGCCAAAATCGACTCCTATTCTCGAATCTTCTTTCCAACAGCCTTTGCCTTGTTTAATCTCGTTTATTGGATTGGTTACCTTTACCTATAAATTCCAGAGGTTTGACAAACTCAGAAAAGGGATAACTTAACACAGATACTGTTTAATGTATCTCAGTGAAAAATATAGAATTAGAGCTGCTCAAAATCTCTGAAATTTGCATGAAAATTGAAATTCTTGAAAAAATGAAAGGAAATAGAATAACATTTTCATACATTTTCATACTATCTAATTGATCAATTATATAGCTAATTTTTAACTTTTGAAGTTAGGGGCAAAACTTTCAAAAAACTTTTTCTGAAATTTTTTCTGTTGTCCAGCTCTAACAAAAATGCAGAGAAACCAGTGGTTAAATGGCTGAATCAGGCACCTCTTCATAACTTTTACATTTTGTTTTTAAATGGAATAACAGCTAAACATTGTAGCATCTCTTACACCAAAGTTAACAAAGCCTTAATAAAATAGGTGTAGCAGTACTGTTATTGAATCATTCTCATATCTACCTTTTCTACCACAGAGTGACTTTTAAAAATAAAAAATACCTGAACTTTTATAAATTCCTATTTTAAAGAGGTTGGTGTGGAATATTCCTCTGGTCCATTTAACCATTTGTCCTCTGCATAATACTGGTAACAAGAATGTGTAAACCTGAATGCAGTTAATTAGCACTTAATGAAAGCAGCATGAAACTGACATGTTATATGAAGGCAATAGTAATTCTGAACTGGTATGATCCTGACCATCACATAAGTTTTGTGCTTAGAACTTGGGTTAAGTTTATGCTTGCACTTTGCCCGTCATTACTTAGCTATTGGTAGTTTCCTAGGGTTACGAAAAAAGGGCAAAATCCTGCAGAGATCCTTAACTAATGTAAATTGGTGCAGCTCTACTGATTTTACCAGAACTATTCCACTTTAAACCAGATCAGGATCTGGGCACTGAACATAGTGCTTCTCCTTCCTTTCTCATGCTTTCTTCCCCCAACTAGTCTCATTCATTCTAATGGACTATCCAGGGTTGTAAAAACCATTGTGCTCAGTAGTTTGTAGGACTTGGGGCCAGCTATTGTTCTCCCAAACTCTACCACTACCATAGTCATTACATTCAGAGGCATTACTTTCCAACTCCAGCCCTCAGAGCAAAGGGCATGGCCTCCTTCACGTCTTCAGAAACTCATATTGTTTACAGGATAATCCAAAATGGTAGTGCTTCTATTGATTCTGTTCATCTCTGTGTGTATCCTTCTGAGTCAATAATAAAAAGCAGCAGTTTTAGTACACTTGTAATATGAATTGATTTATAATGGCTGTTGTAATAATTGTATGTTTAATTGGAAATGTGTATTGTTCAGAAAGAAAAATAATTATGTATTTCAGGTAATTCTCCATGGTGTGATACATCCCTAAAAAGCATAGGACCCTGTCATGCACCCCCTCCTCACTCATTTCCATTGACATTAGTGGATATTGTACAAGTGGTGGACTTGCTAGACTGAGCTCACCGCTTGTTGAATATTGTTGGCTGGCTAAATTAATTAGCACTTTTGTATCATAAATCATTTTGTCTTTACTGCAGAAAAGTACAATCCTTTCTGCTTTCTGACTTTTCATAGACAATGAAACTGGTCTCAAGCTAACCCACAAAAGTCAGCTGTGTAATTGAAGAATTCCTTAACTAAAAGTCAAACAAAAGAGTCCCTGAGGATACTTTAAAAGGGATGTGTGGGACAAGGAGTTGTCTACTATAGATGGGCCTTAGTGCAGACTTCACTGTATCAGAGGATATCTCCACAAAGCATAAAATAACTGATAGCTTGAAGTAGACAAAGATTTATCATTTTAAAGGGGAAGACTCTAGAGTTCTATTGAAATCATCCCTTCTCTGGATGCGTCTCAGAAACATACTGTATCCTTATAGTCACTGGTATCAGAAACAATATGGTTTGATGTACATTCCACACTGAATTCAGAGGTCCAGATCCTCAAAAATATTTAGGTGCCTAACTCCCAGGAAACCAATGGGATTTAGGAGCCTAAATGTCTTTTGAGGGTCTGGGCCAGAGGGACTACTCATGTGAAATGTGAGAACTGCATTTGACCTCTGAGTTCAATGATGAATCCAAGACCAAAAAAAAAATCAGTGGTTCTGGGGGGAAAATGTATTGATGGACACAGTTTAATGCAAACTTTATTTCAATATTTAGCTGATAGGATGTAGAAATGATCAGGAGAATTTGAAAGACTGCCACTGACGTTGTCAGACTTCTTTTACTGGGTGACCTTTTCAGAGCTCAGAGCTTCTCCTATCTGTTAGAATGAGGGTAAAAGTGATGCAGCATCTAAAGACATTTCCTAACCTACTATCATTTTATTAAGCAACAGAGGGTCCTGTGGCACCTTTTAAGACTAACAGAAGTATTGGGAGCATAAGCTTTCGTG